GGTTACTGCTTCTGCCAGCACTACCGGCCTTCCTTCTCCGGTGATCACCGTAAACCAGACTGGTTTTACAGGCACTTTCGGTAATGTGGTGACGGGTACCAATAGTGCCACCCAACAATACACAGTAACCGGTGCTAACCTTACGGCTGATATTGTGCTGACGGCTCCTGCCGGTTTCAGTATTTCCACAACTGCCGCTTCCGGTTTCGCCAGTACACTAACACTTACCCAAACCAGCGGTGTCGTTGCAGCAACGACTATTTATGTACGTTACTCCCCAACTGCGGCCAGCGGTGCAACCGGTAATCTCACAATCTCGCATACCAGCACCGGTGCGGTGACACAGCAGGTAACCGTTAGCGGCAATGCACTTTCTGTGGAGCCGTCTGCTGCCGGTACGATTAGCTTTGGTACCACTACTTTAAACAGCATTGTGCTCAACCTGCCTACAGTGGGCAATGGCAGCAGCCGCATTATTGTGGCAAGAGCCGGTAGCGCAGTTACTTTTATCCCTGCTGATGGCCTGGCCGTAACAGGTGTCAATGCCAACTTTACAACGGCAACAGACCAGGGCACGGGCAACCGGATCGTTTATGAAGGCACAGGCTCCGGCAATGGCGTAGTGACCGTATCCGGACTTACGCCGGCAACTACTTATTATTTTACGGTTTATGAATACAACCGCGGAACCGGCAATTCTTATAACTACCTGGCGACGCCTGTTGCTACCGGCAATACAGCTACCCAGACACCTCCTGCAGTGATCGTAGCAGATGCTACGGGACTCAATGGCAATTTCGGAAATGTAGTGATGGGTACCAATGTTGCCGGCCGACAATATAGTGTGAGTGCCAGCGGACTTACTGCGGGGCTGCTGATCACAGCGCCGGCTGGCTTCCAGGTATCAACAAGCGCTGCCGCCGGTTTTGGTACATCACTTACTTTATCACCTTCCGCCGGGGCCATTCCAGTGACCAGCATTTATGTGCGTTATGCACCTACTGCAGCTACTGGTGCTACCGGCAATGTAAACATCACGCATACAAGTACCGGTGCGCCCAGCCAGGATGTTGCGGTAAGCGGTAATGCTCTTGCTACACAGCCGACTTCTATAGGCACGATCGGGTTCGGTACGCTCACCAGCAACTCGATTGTTATAAACCTGCCTACGGTAGGTAATGGTAATAAGCGGATCATCGTTGCAAAGCAGGGAGCCGCTCCGGCCTTTGTGCCCACAGATGGTATTGCGGTAACGGGCGTTAACGCCAACTTCACCACGGCAAGCGACCAGGGTGCCGGCGAAAGGGTAGTGTATGATGGCGCTGCAAGCGGCAGCAGTGTGGTACTGGTAAGTGGCCTTACCCCCAATACAGCTTATTACTTCACGGTTTTTGAATACAATGCCGGTACTGGTACTTCTCAAAACTACCTGGCCGCACCGATGGCCAGTGGCAATGCCACTACCCTGAACCTGGTGCCTAATGTAGTGGTG